AGCATAGTCACACAGACCTAAGGGACAAAGTACAAGATATAGGTGTAATCCCTACCTGCTGTGAAGGGATTTTGGTCCCAGCTCAACTGACGGAAGTGTAACTGCCAGAGTGGCTCCTGGATACCCAGATAGGAAAGTTTCCTTAACACAAACATCTAGCTTTCCTTCCCACAGTGTTCAGGGGTTTCTGCCCACCTAAGCCTGTTCTGGGGATGGTAACCGTGTAACTTTTAAAGTGCAACTGATTGTTTCTTGCTGAGCACTGATTGATTGCAGCAGCTGCTTTGTGATGCTGTAGCCAAGAAACTGATGGAAGATGAATTTGAGTGACAAATCTTCTTGTTACAGAGTGAAAGAACTCAGCCCTCATGATGGAGGTGGTGAAAATCAGTGTCAGATGGAGAATGAAGAGGCTGAGACCAGCCCTGAAAGCTCAGGTCTTCAATTCAATGTATGTGTGTGCAGTGGGCTAACCAGAACTCAAAGCTGGGAACAAGTTGCTGTTCTCACCTGGGCTGTTTCTTGCAGTTCTGCAAAGAAGGGGAGGAAGAACTCTCTCCCTACATGTGCCGCTATCGAGAGGTTATGACTCAAATTAGTGAACAGGAGGAGAAGGTTGTGGAACAGCTCCGACAACTGAGACAGGTATGGGGAAGCAGCAAACCCACCCCAGGCCACCTTCTATATGTTGATAGCAGCTTGCTTTGTCTGAGCCAAGTGCTGCTGGGGAGGCACCAATGCAAGATGCTGTGGTGTTACTTTTTCCTCACTGCCAACTTTTACCAGTATTTTCTGGCCCAGTTGGTTAAACTGGGGCATTCCAGTGCTTTTTCCAGTTCCTTTTCCCTTCCAAATAGCAACATCTACTTGTTGCTATTGAGCACTGATAGCTCCTGGTCTGTAGAAGTTCAGCTATGTTGATTAGACTGCCAGACTTGAAGAAACTAATTGAATTTCTAGAAAGTCTATTAATCATCACTGTTATCCTTGTAAATACAGAAAATGGCTTTTGAACTTGACTGCCTCTTGGAAATCACAGAGAAACCAGATTATGATCTTGAGACCTTTGTGAGAAGAGCTAAGTACTTCATAGAGGACAGCACAAGCAATTTCTTTAGTGTCAGAGGTATGTTAGAGCCTGTGTCTGACTAGCACTGTCACTAATGCTTTTCCAAAGACCTCAAAGTGGCACCAGCATACCTATGGGGGTTTGAGCACCCAGTCCTGCATAGCTGAAGTCTGCTGAGACTGACAGCTGTGCTGGAGAGTTCAGCTTCCAGATCAATCACCCTGTTGCTCTTATCTTTCTTTACAGAAACACTGGATGCCCTGGGGACTGCCATGCAACTGGAGGAGCAAGCCAGCAAGCAGCTAAGCTTGCAGAGGCCTTAACCATTACAGCAAAACCTGGTTCACAAACAATCGTTCATGCACTTGTCTTGTCTTGCATGTTCGTCAGTGGTTTGTATCACTCCTGTTTTAAATGTGGTAGGGTGTCTGCAGGTCACATGCCTAAGGGCAGTGAACACAGCAGCCTTTTTCTTCATGGTCTGTATCAGGGTACTCAGCAAAGTGCTAAAATGCACCCACTGTAAGGCTTAGGTAGGAGGCCTGAGAGTCTGCAGTTTCTGCCTGAGATATTTGGCCCTTTGCTGGTGACAATAGTCTCCCCTAAGAGACCTAACTATACATATATAGTATATTACCTTTTCCAGATGTGCTTGAAACATTGCAAAACTGTTACAAGTTTTGCTTTTCTAGAAGGAAAGAAAATGGGACTATGTGATTGCAAAAACTAGTATTTTAAGAAGTTGAATAAATAAATGTTCTTGGATCTCATTATCTTATCTGTCCTATAAAAAATATTTCTTGCTGATTATGGCAAAGTTTAACAGCTCCTAAAGACTGGCTGTTGGTAGGGAGGCTGATTTCTTGGATGAAGTTTCTTTTCAAAATCTTTATACTTGTAATGTTTACATAAAAATCACAAAATAAGTTTTGTCTCTTAATTTTTGAGATACTGCTGGGCTCCCCTATCCAGGGGGAAGCTGGCTTAGGTGTAGCCATCTGCTGCCATGGCCCTTGTGTGCAGCCTGGGCCCAGACTGCTCTGCAGACCCTTCCTCTGGGAAAAGAGCAGGTTAGGGGAGGAACATCTGTCAGGCCTGTGCTAGTGCCTGCTCTTTTTTACTTATTCAGCTCAGTTCAGCATTTGTCTTCAAAAGCACAAAATACTTGCGTGACCTCTAGCTTCAGCAACACAGGATGCAGCTGTGCAAACATCAGCTCACACAGGGACCCTTCTACCATTGCTCCCTCTTTTCTTAGAGCTATCTTCTCCCTGTGAAAATCAAGGGTGTAATTTAAGTGACAAGCCCCACCTCAGCTCTGCACCTTCCAGCTGTATACTGCATCCTTGCTGTGTGTCTGCCAACTATTTTGGAGGCCAGTTCTTCAGCCTGGACTGGAAAAACTGTGTGCAATGTTTCAGGGCTGGCCTGGAAAAGACAGCAAAAAAGTTAGGGATTTGGGGGATGTGAGCAAACATTAGTCACAAGCACTTAAAGAAGGGATACTTCAAACCAGGCATGATCCTCCTCCACAGCTTGGGCACTTTGTGCTTAACTGTTTAGGTTCTGGGAGCAGAGGGGTGCTGAGCACTCGGAGGGTTTCTGAACTGTGAAAGCTGACTTGGACCTGGGCTCTGCCTGCATCATACAAAATCGCACAGCCAGAGTAGCAGGGCTGTTATGCCCTGCTAAGTCTGGACAAAGGCAAGACAATCCTGTTCCACTTCATGTGTTAGTACTCTTGGATTACCCAGCCTTTCCCTGTTCAAGGAACAAATATTGCCTGCTACCTTCCTTCTGTGGCCCCAACATTATTTTCCCTCCATCTGCCTTAGGAGTTAGAGACCTGATCTGCAGGTCATCAGCTCCTACCCTGGATGGGGGAAGAACTACCCAATGGTCTGAGTCTGTGCCTCTTGGTGCAATTGCAATGGAAAATGCTCCTGTCCTGCCCTAGTAGCGCCAACAGACACCAGAGTTGCAAAATAAACAAATGTTTAGCTGTGCATGGATTAACAATCATTTAACACTGGGCTTGCTGAGAACCAACTGTTTAATGATCAGTGGGAGCTTCATCGTGTATATTTAAGTCTGGCTAGTTTCTTGTGTCACCATAAAAACCCCAGGACTCAAACATCACCACCCTTACTTCTGAGAGGATGTCACTGGAAAATTCCTCATGTTTGCCTCCCTATCAACCAAGCATTTTGCTTTTCCAGAAAAAGGTGTTCTAACAGCACTATCTTGTGGATACTGCAGGAAGTTCATACTGAATTTTAGTGCAAATAGCTGAATTTCATTGAGGATTATGCAGTCAGTCATAGGCACTGGGTTTTCCAGTGGGTGGCTAATGTTATAAAAGGGTGTTTCACTGCTGGCTGTGGCTACCAACTGTGTGGAGGATACAGTGGCCATGAGCAATACAGCACCCTTCAGCCCTGTGCAGGACATACACTGCTTCCAGGCCCAGCCATCAAGGGTGACAATACACAAGGCCAGCGCAGATTTCGCATCTTAATTTTTTTTCACATATTTATTTATTTCACATAAATAAAGTTTCAAGCCAGCTCCAGTGGCAGGAGCTGGGAGGGTCCTACCTGCAGGCAGTGACTCTGCCTCATTCCCAAACACACCCATCTCCAAACAGCTTAGAGCTGGAGACTTGACGGAGCTGGGATACTCAGCAGGGAGGAGTGCCAGAGGTGAATGGGTGAATATTTCCTGGGAGGAACATGTCGCAGTTCTTTCCTACTGAAAGGATGCCACTTCTCTAAGGTTTTTTTTATGGTACTGTAGATTCTGCTCGAGTGTCTCACCCAATGGCTTTTGTGGCAGCTGCCTGTTAAATATACTCTCTCAGCCAAAGTGTGGCTGTGTGTGTATGTGGACCATTAGCAAGGAAAGAATGATGCTTTTGAAACACTTCTAAGATGTTAGAGGTGGAGTTATGCTGCTAGCATAAAAGGAGGATGGGTGTAATTTTTCAGGAAATGCTGTGGATATGTATAATGATCTACGCACATGCCACAGCTCAAGCAGACTGGGCTACCGTGGCCTGCACTGCTGAGCTGGGACAAGAAACACCCAGCACTGGAACTGGGCACCATCCTCACGCAGCAGCCCTTAGCACATTTCTGGAGGCCTGCAGGGTAACATCAGTGCTGCAGGCAACCCCTGCCTGGATCCGGGCACCCTTGCTGCTGCACCCCTCGCCTCAGGGGACAGCCCCCTGCACCTCCCCTACCTGTCAAGGTAAGGCTGAGCCCTGCAGGTGATAACGGATCCTGCTTGTCGCTCTGGATGGTCCCCAGAGGGCCCTGGCCACCACTTGTACACACCCGCAGTACTAGTGTGACATTTTTATCTCTATCGTTTACCGTAAAAAATGTAGCTCCACCGAAATGGAGCCTCAAAAAATTTCTCGACACTCGTGCCTGTTCCTCTCCACGGAAATCTTTAGTAAAAGGCGAAAGATTTATACGATCTGAAGAGAAACCAGAGTATGCCTGTGTTACCCTCTCCGACAGAGGCACCGTGTGCTCCAGCCCCCAAAAGTGAGGGTGACACCAGCCCGCCCGCGGCTCCCGGCCCCGCATCCCGGCCCGGCCCGGCCCCGCGGGATGCGCACACCGGGCAGTCCCCCCGGCCCGGTGAGGGGCAGCGGCCGCCGCGCCGGTCACCGGCGGGGCCGCGGAGCACCCTGGGTATGCAAATCAGCCCCGCAACGAGCGGCCGTAATGGGCGGGAGGAGCCGGCGGCGCGGGCGGGCGGGGCAAGTTGGTTTTGCTGACGTCGGTGCCGCGGTGCATCCGTTCTCCCCACGCTCCCAAGCACTAGGGATCGCTTATATTCCCCATTGCTGCAATTAATTGCCATCAAGCCACCCCAGCGAGCGCTCAGCATTCGCTCTTTCTTTAACCGTAAATGGTTCGCTCCACCGTAATGGAGCCACAAAAATTTTAATAAGACTCGTACGCGTTTCTCTCCACGGATTTATACGATCTGAAAAGAAACCGGAGGACAGTCATGCTCCACCCCACACATATGCCCACTGCCGCCCCGTCAGACACAGCGATCTTCTCTCAGTTCCTTTCCATACTTCCCACTCCTTCCGGCGCCTCACCCGGCTCGGCACCAGCCCCTGCCGGTACCACAGCCCGGTTGGCCCGAGCGCGGAGCCGCGCCGGTTTAGAGCGGCGGTGCTCGGCGGGGCCGGCCCGGGTACGCTGATCACTCCAAGCGGAGGAGGCGGCTCGCCCCGGCCAAGCCCGGTGCTTCCTGCTCTCCTGCCGGGGCGGGGCGAGCGAAGCGGGTCCGCTGCGGACACAGGGAGCTGGGAGTGGGCAAGGACCCAGCGGCGCTCGGGTCTGCTCGCATCGTTGCCTCGGCAAGGAGACACCGCGCAGAGGCAAAAAGTCGGCTCCGGGAAAGGCCGCCGTACGCCGCCGGCACGGATCGGAGCTAGACAGCGAGGGGAGCTTGCGGTAGGGCTCCTACGCAAGGTGCCGAGCTCCGAGAGGGCGCCAACACCACCCCGATCCTCCTGGGAGGGCTGGAATGCCCGGGACTGCCGCGCAGGTCCCTGGCTGTCTCTTCTCCCGCAGTCCGAACCGCGGGCACGCAGCTGCCAGGGCGGGCCGGAGCGGGAGGACGGGTTGCCCAAGCCCCGCCCTGTCACGCTCATCTCCTGACCCGGCCGGGTACTGAGGCGGCCGCCCGGGCTGGGTGCGGGCGGTGCGGACGGACCCGTAAGCGCAGGGTCGGTGCTGCCGGGAGCCGCGCCGGTGCGCCTTGCGCTTCCAGCCCTAGAACATGGCATACACGCCCGGACTTTCTAAGCTAGCAAAGGTGTCATTTGCTCTTTTTTTTACCGGAGTAGGGGTAGCTCCACCGAAATGGAGCCTCAAAAAATTTCTCGACACTCGTGCCTGTTCCTCTCCACGGAAATCTTTAGTAAAAGGCGAAAGATTTATACGATCTGAAGAGAAACCAGAGTATACCGTACTTTGGTCTTTGGCGGGTACCCGTTCATGGCTGTCCGTCCAAAGATACAGCGACGCCAGTTACACCCAGGTTCGCCCTTCATCTGCCTCAGCTCATTGTCCCGGCTGCGATCAGAGCTCGGCCGTGCACCGGACCAGCGGTACCGCGGAGCGGCGGCCCGAACTTTGCAGTGTGTGCGGTACCCCGCGCGGTGCACGCTGGGTATGCAAATGACGCTGAATACTAATAAGCGCCCGTCCCCGCCCAGGCCCGTGTCGGTCGCGGCCAGGCGGGATCGGGGCGCCGGGAACCCTCGGCACAGAGCTCCTGTGCCTGCCCCTGGCCCCCGGCACACTCACCTGGCCAGCCCCGCACCGTCCGGCGTGGGTAGACAGATCTTACCTTTGTACTGGACCTCCAGGTGTACTGAGCACAGCGCACCCAGCATCGGCTCCGAGGACAGACAGGGCACATCTCCCATCGTATGCTGGGGGGAAAGGGCAGAGTGACAGGGACAGGCTTCACACAGTTCTCCAGACTGTTCTCTTCAGGCAGTAGGGCGAGCCAGTGCAGCCAGAATGCCAAGCAACTTTGAAAACCATGATGGCTAATGGCTTCCTGCTCTTTGACACATGTTATGATCTCTTCTGCCTAGAGACAAATGAGAAAGAAATTTAAAAAGGTCTGTGAAGAAAAACTGTACAAATGAAATATCATTAAAATCCCATTTAAAATCTCTGGCAAATAATATGAAAGCACTTAGTAATAATTTAATCTAATTTTCTCTTACACTCATTTCATAGGAAAACTAGCAAAAAGAGAGTTCCTGATATGTCTGAAGCTGCACAATGAATCTGTGACAAACCTGAGATTATTTTCCTGGGCAGGTGGTTTTACCACAGGAGCTCTTTGCTCTGCTAATAAAGTCATTTTGATGTTACCCATTACCCCAGCCCTGTTTCTCACTAGCCTCATGATATGAATAGGGCGTCTCATATCTGACCTGCCAGGGAATAAATAGAGTGAAATGAGAGCAGAAATAGGTATGGATTTATGGGGAGTGACAGGGTCAAGGGGGCTATAAATGCCTGTTAGCACAGCAGCACAGCCCTCACTCACGTGCTGGAACCACAGCCATTTGGACACCCACCCCAGGAACACGTGCCTGGCCTTGGCAGTGGGAAAGTGCTTTGGCACCCTTTAGCATGACAGACATTTGCTCTGTTTTTTCCCTCTGTAATTTTCTTGGCATGTTTTTAGACAATCTAAGAAAAGCTAAAATGATAAGAGCTATAAGCAAGAAGACAGAGGTTCCAGAAACATCCCTTGTCTGCAATTCCTTTTATTTCTTCACACAGATGTTAAATAAAGAAATCTACATTTTTCCAAGTGTCTTTTGGCTCAGTATGATATCCCCTAGTGCAGCTTGACAAACGTGAAGGTGCACTTAGCAGGGGAGATGGAATGTCAGGGACTAAGCTTTCCCATTGTGTGGCAATCCCACAGCCGTGCAGGCTTTTGGCTGGAGGACACTGACCAGTCTCAAGGAGCCTCGCAGTTAAACACCAGGATCTGTGCCCACACACAGACGGAGAAAGAGGGATAAGGTCACAAACAGTGGCATTAACACAGCTGCCTTGTTCTCCACCAAGCTGTATCAACATGCCTAAGGATAAGAAAGGAATCCACACCTTGTCTAATGCATTTCTTGGGCTTCCTACTTAACAAAAGCACCATTTTAGGTTTTATTTAAGTGTGGTTTATTGAGAGAAAGAGTTAAAATGACATAAAATATATGTGTTTCAGAATAAGAATTTTTTCCCAGTGTAATACAAATCATCAAGATTAACAATTTCCTATTTACAAAGTTCTTAAGCCTTTTCTCCTAATATCTGGATAAAAATTTCAAATCCGTTCCAAAGTATCCCCAAGATACCTGCTCAAAAGTAACTTTCTACTCCTATTATCTGAACCAGACTGAAAACAATGACTAAGACGTGAAGCTGTATCTCAGTGCCTAAAAACAAACAAGTAAAGTCTTCAAAAAGCTGGCTAAGAAACAGTGCTTGAGAATTAAGATGAGATGAAATTTCATTTGGGAATTAACGGTCTGTGTTCTGTAAGGCATCTGTGTCCTTGGCAAGGCGTTTTCAGGATCTCCTCTGCAGGAAAGCAGGTTTAAAATAAATCCATTTTCCCAAAATAGTTGTGATTGAAAATGTTATTAGCCATAACAAATGTTAGTGCTGACAGGAGAATGGCCTGTTAGGGGCCTCTGCTGAAACAGTCAAGTGAAAGTCATATTTCACATTATTGCAAGCATTTTCCTGTGATTTACAGAATATTTGTGAAACATTACTTGCAAGGCATATGATTGATATTGAGAGAACAGCTCGTGTGTAGGGGGAATCTGTATTTCACAGAGACTGTTTGCATGAAATTTACAGTCCCATAAAGTGCTCCTCTGTCCTCAACAGAGATCTAGTTAAAAGAACTTTACAGTCTGAAACATCCCAAAATTGATTGTAAATTAACATTTCTGTATTTATGTTTAAGATGCTGGTGGTGTAGTGCTGCAGTAACCTGCCCCCCCCCTCCCCCCCCAGAAATACTAGCACCAGCCTCTGGACATGAGGATTTTAGTGATACAAAGGGCTTGCCTATGAATCAATGGGGGAAAAAAAAAAGAATTTTGAAATATGACATGGCTTCAGAGGATACAGTGGTGTCTGTCTTTGGCTGCTGTAATAACAGCATTTGCTGACATGGGAGTCTTTAAGCCAACATTGCAAAGTACTCTGAAAATATACATTTATGTTTTTATTATGATGATTTTACATATGGGAACATACAGACACAGGGAAGTGAAATGACTTGCCTGAATCATATATCAGTACTAGCATCAACATGTAAGTCCTGGTTGTTGGCTTCAAAGACTGCTGTCAAGAGTGCTGGGCTGCCACCCAGTCCACTGGACCTAATAATCAAAACAAGGCTGGGTGAGGGCAGAGCTTTATTCCTGGCAAGAGAAAAACGAGTGATTTAGGAACTGTCTCTGGCAATTCAGCAGTTCTTTATATCCAGAGTTCTGCTTAATCATCAGATCGAGATCAAAAGGCAGACTGGTGTTGCTTCAGCCTCAGACCGAGTGTGAGGTACCAGTGAACGATAGCCTTGGACTCATGGGAGGGCAAAGTGGCAGTGATTTGTTACCTTTGCCTCTTACAACATCAAGGTTGTGCCCAGCCTCAGGCAGAACTTCGGGCTTGTTTTCCTGGCACGTTTCCTCCTTTCCTGGCACACCTCACAGTGCCCCTTCCTCAGTGTACACCCCCTCAACCCACAGTCCCGCCGGCCCCTCTGACCCAAACCCGCCCCGCACTGCCCCATCCCAGCCAGGCCCTGAACTGCCCCCGCATCCATCCCAGCCCCCGCCCCGTCTGACCCACTGCAACCTCAACATTCCCTGCCCCAGACCGCCACCCCACAGCCCCTCCTGACCCAAACACGCACCAGCCCCTCTCCCCCCTCACGCCGCGATCCCCCTCCAGGCCCCGCCATTCCCCTCACCCGGCCCCGCGCCCCCGCCCCTGCCCCAAGGGGGCGGGCACCCCGCACCGTGACTGACACGCGTCACAGCCAATCGCTGCCAGACGTTCTGTCCCTGCCCAATGGGTGGCCAGGGGGCGGGGCGCTGGGCCGGCGCTAAGGGCGCGTTGCTAAGGAAGCGGGGGGCGGGTAGGGGGCGGGGCGGATGAGGAGGCGGGGTGGGCGCTTTCCCTTCCCATTGGCTGCGGGGAGGGAGGTGGGCGGGGCTTCCGGGGTCGCGGAAGCGGCGGCGGCCGGGGCGCGGAGCGCGGCCATGGCCGCCCGCGGGCTGAGGGGAGCCGCGGTGGAACCGGAGCCGGGACACGCCCGCGGGCCGAGGGGAGCCGCGGTGGAGCCGGAGCCGGGACACGCCCGCGGGCCGAGGGGAGCCGCGGTGGAGCCGGAGCCGGGACACGCCCGCGGGCTGAAGGGAGCAGCGGTGGAGCCGGAGCCGGGACACGCCCGCGGGCTGAAGGGAGCCGCGGTGGAACCGGAGCCGGGACACGCCCGCGGTGCGCAGGCCAGCGGTACCGGGGACACCACTGACACCGGGGACTGGGGGGCTCTGCGGGCGGAGCGCGCTGGGTATGGGAGGAGCAGCCCTGGGGCATTGGTGGTCCAGCTGGGGTCTGGCAGTCCTTGGAGGACAGGGCAGGACGCTTCCCTTTTCCCCCTGGAAGTGGCAGCAGCTGCTGCTGCCTCGCCGGGGGCGGGAGGAGAGATCTCGCTCCCGGTAGGGATCAGTTCGGTGCTGGAGAGCGGTGGGAGCTGCGGGGGCCGAAGCTGTGCTGTGCAATACCCCACTAATGAAATGGCGTGAGACAATACTTGTGACTGACCGAGAAGTCAAGCTTATACTCGTTTTGCTATTGCTTATACTCGTTTCACTATTGCCTTTGAACTCTAGTAAGCAGACAAGCTGCTGTAAGTCGTGACTCGGGCAGACTGGAGGGCATTTGATCAACACTTGTGCTTTGTTCCAGAAGGCAGTACAGACAGAGAGCCTGCCCAGGGCCAGCCTGTGGTGATCCTCCTGGGCTGGGCCGGCTGCCAGGACAAATACCTGGCCAAGTACAGTGCAATCTACAGCCAGAAGGTGAGTGGCCTGTCTGTATTTTTATGACACTGTCATACTGTGAAACTGCCTTCTTTTTGCATGTTGGTAGAGTCTCTCTGAAGCTTCTTTTGGTCTCACTCATGGGGCGTGAGTGAGAGTTCTCCTGTCACTGACAGCTCCTTGTCTCTCACAGCCCGGGCAGTGTTATCTAACAGCTGCTGATGTCACCTTTGTGTGTGCAGCTAAGACAGAAATACTTCCTTGGAGAAACTTTCAGCTGCCATGTGACTCACTGAAGTATCTTCAGGCTTTTAAAGTTGTGGGATTTTTCAGGAATGACATGAACTGGGTTAGTTTTCCAAACAGGTAAACATGCATGGAAAGATTCTGTGTTTACTGCTTGCTGTTAGGCCACAGCACAGATGTGGTGAGGCTGGGGTGGCAACTGACAGAACACATTACATTTTTTTTCCTTGGTCAGCATACAGGGAATCTTGGATTTATCCAAATCTGTTCCAACTATAGATGGTAAAGTTTGTACATTAACAAGTCTATTGTTAATGTGTAATCCAGGGCAGGAGTCATTAATTGGCTTGATCTAGTGAAGAATTAGTTCTTAAGTGGCTTTAAGATGCTGCTGAGCGGATGAGGAGCACGTTACAGGGCAGCATGACAACTTCTTGGAAAATACTTTTCTCTCAGAAAGATCATAGAAATGGGAAAGGAGAGGATGGGTTCGCTTAGCTCACTAAGGGGAAGTGGCTGTAACCACAGGAAGATGGAAGAGAAGGCTTTGATTTGAGAACTTGGTATCCTCTTCTAACTTGTTCACTGTTTAGGGAGCTCTGGGGGGTTGTGTTGGTGATTTTGCTTTGTGCTTGTCAGTGTGTAATGTCAGTGAGCTCAGGTGATAGAAAAGGTCTAAAGCATTTATAAATGTAGTTCCACCTGCTCTATTTTGAAACTCCTCCAAGATCCTGTTTCCCAATCTATACCTAAATGTAAGGACTTAAGCATGAAGGCAGTTGCTCAGGAGTTCTGAGTCCTTGAGCCAGAGCTCTTTGCACAGCTAGAGTGTTTCAGGAAGGTCTACAAAAATCATGTTTGTGTTGGTGGTGAGTCTTAAAGAGAGCTGCAAACAAGTATACCCAAGGAGAGGAGGAGTTCCTCTTTCTTCTTACATTTGCTTCAGTGTGATGAGCTGGATGTGTACCAGAGCAGGCTTGTCTTACCAAAATGGCTGATGCTGAAGGTCTGTGAATCAGGGAGATGGTTTTCTTCTCCTGGTGAGGATTAACACCCATAAAAATGGGTGGCAGTGATCCCAGGGGTTGTGCCAGTTAGCACAAGATTTGAAATGATCTCAAGCATGACCAAAGCCAGGCCTCTGCCACTGCTGAGGCTTTTTCATAACACCGTGTGCTATGATGATTAATGTAATCTATATTCATGTCAGTGTCTTGCTGCTGACACTAAAGACTTTCTTCCGGCCCTGTGGTCTCTGTTGGAAGCCTGTCCCAAATTTTCATTTCTTTGTACTGCTGCTTGCCTACGCTGTATTGCAGCACAGCTTAAATGTCTGTGGGGTCTCTTTCTGTTGTTCTTAGGGGTGCACGGTCATCCGTTACACAGCTCCATGGAGGATGATATTCTTCTCTGAGACCTTTGGCATCAGATCCCTGCAGACCCCAGCCAGGCGACTCCTGGAGCTACTCTTTGACTACAGCATTGAGAACAGGCCGGTTCTTTTCCACGTTTTCAGCAACGGTGGTGTGATGCTGTACCGTTACATCATCGAGGCGCTCCACACCCACGAGCCCTTCCAGAACCTCCGAGTAGCTGGCACCATTTTCGACAGCGCCCCTGGCAGGAGAAACTTGCGAGGAGCCCTTCGTGCCCTGGCGACCGTGCTGGTCTCCATGAACGTGCTGCTCAAGTATTTGCTGCTGTTCGCGTTCGCCAGCGCAGCCGTGGCGCTGCGGATCCTGCTGTACCCCCTGACCCGCTTCATGCACGAGAGCCACTACGACGCCCTGCTGAGAGCGCCCTCGCGCTGGCCCGAGCTCTACCTCTATTCCCAGGCCGATCTCATCATCAAGGCCAGCGAGGTTCAGCTCATGGCCAGTGCCCGGCAGCAGCTCGGCGTTCCTGTGAAAGCCGTGGACTTCTCGGATTCGGCTCACGTCAGCCACATGCGGGTGTACCCCACCTACTACCGCAGCCTCTGCACGACCTTCCTGTCTGACTGTGTCGGGGCCTCACCTCCTTAGTGCTGTAATCACCTGCAGTGTTTGCCTCTGCTTGCTCAGCTCCTATGGGAAATGTCACCCCCTTTGCTTTTGTGTCTTTGAAAAGAGGAAAGTAGAGGCTTCTTGTTTGGTTTTTTTTTTTTTTTTTCCCATACCGTCTACAAGCCTGAAAGCCTCCAGCCTGGCCTTTGGACCAGCCATGTTAGAGCAGAAAGTAGATATGGATTAATTTAAAGTTCTGAAGGTGAAGTCCTGTCATGGTTCATGTTGATGTGCTTTGCCAAGATGTCATAGACCAGAATCTGACACTGAGTATTGTTTGTTTCTTCTTGTCTCTTCTTGTTCTCTGCTTTCCATGTTGTCACCTTGTCCCTGATGTCCAACATGCATGTTCTGTTGCTTGTATTAATTTTACAATACAGCTCTTCCATGTCTTTGTTGTTTTGCTGTTTTTTTTTTTCTCTCTGACATTTCTTTTATCTTGCAATGAGCAAACAGAGCCAAATCTGCAGGACTCCTCTGCTTTCCTCAGTGCATCCCAGTTCTTGTTTTACTCTCCTAACTGGAGATCGGGCCCTGAAACCAAGTTGTAAGACCAGGAGAAGGTGTGTGTAGGGCAGTATGACCAGACTGTAATCTGGTTCCATTAAATAGCTGAGATAAAACAGTCAAAGCTCTCTGATCCTTGGTGGGAGCTCAGATGTTTTTTATAACTTCTGTGTTCTTCATCCCAGAGGTTTAAGCTAACATTTTTGAATGTGTCTAGTGTTTTGTTTCTCTTCCTTCCAGTCTTTTGTGTTTTCTACTGAGTAGTTTTGCTTTATTGGAGAGCTACTTATTTGTTAATTGTATGTCTTGAAGCAGCCTATATTTTGCATCTCGATATGCAGGGAAATTTTTGCATTACAGCTGTACCAGATCCCAGAAACAGAAAGGTGGAATTGCAGAAGAAAACAGAACTGTCTCTTGGAGCTATGCTTCATACTGGGTATTTCTTAAATCACCTCTTGCCTACAAATGACCATGAAATATGTTTTTGTCCATCATGTTCTCTTCAGATGATCAGTCTTTACAGTCCATGCAACGTGTACAAGAAATTAATTCCTTCCACCTAGTGAAAAAGTAGCTCACTGCACTGTACTTCATGTTTGGGTTTAAGTTTTATTGTTTATTTGAGGGAGAAGTGGGGATAAGGACAGAGCAGAGCCTGCTATGTTTATGCTATGTCACAGTATAGCAAGATAATTACATGGTGAACAGCTCTAGCCAACTTTAAATTGCCAGGAAGAAGCTCTGGAGGGCTGTGCCATGGGCTTGCTTGAACAAGGAACTGCCCTAGAGAGGTAGGCACTTAAATAGCAGGAGGAGTTTTGCAAAAAGTTCTACCAGTGGGTGGCTGTGCTGCTCTTGCCTACTCTTGGGGTGTTGTCATCCACAATTACAAAACTCTTGCTGTTACGGATTGAAATGCAGAGGGGGAAGTCCTTGGGAAGCACTAAAATAATTTGGAAATTTAACACAAGAACTGTAACACCTCACAGAAGTGAAAGCACAGGGTGAGTGGCAGTGGTGACCACACAGCTGGTTTGTAGCAGAGGGAGGGTTGGGCTGTATATGGGATAAGTGAGAATTAACTGAAAATGGTCTGATGACCTGGTTTGTCTTTTATTTTTTAAAAGTGAGAACTGTCTCCAGGCACTGGAGCTTGTTCTCAGGTCCCAGTCTTCTGTAGGTGTGATCCCAGTTCCAGCTCCCAGTGTGACAGTGGGGTGTGAGGGCTACTCTGTGGTAAGAGCCTTCAGCCTTCCCCTTTTCATGAAGAAATTCTTGTTTCTGGGGTTTGGACCTGTAAAATCCAGGCATGGTCCCCTATCTCCAGGAAGCCCATCAGAGAACTCTCAGCTTTTTAAAGCAGGCCCCTGGTTTGTGCTGTCAGTGCTGTAACTCCTGAGTTGTGATGTGTTCATCTGCCTTTTCAGACATCTGGGTTGGGGCTTCTCAGCATACAGCCTGTTTGTGGCACTGTGAACACTCTTGGAGAACAGAGGTGATAAAGGTTATTTAACCAGCACTTGCTCTCATGCTGGTTTCTACAGGCTCAGTATTTACAGATCAGTTAAACACTCCATAATACACGCCTCTGAATTAATACAATTGTTCCTGGGAATCTGCTGTTCCTGTTTATTGCTGTGGGTGTTGAACTGTTCCTGTTTAAGGACTTGGTCTGTTACAGAGCATGGCTGGCAGGAGCTGGAGCTAAACCCTCTGCCCTTGCCTGACAGGATGGTGAGGCTTCCCCTGGGAAAAAACTTCACATCAGCTGCACCTTCCTCACTTTCACCTCCCCACCAAGGTGTTGCCACTTCCCCACTCCCCAGGGCAGCAGCAGGGAGCGGGTGCTGCCTGCTGGAGCTTTGCAGTCAGAGGTGTCCTGAGCTTTGCCGACAGGAATGTGGCCACAGGCGTTTCCACTGCTGCAAAAGTGACTTGAAATTCAAAGGTGATCTGTGTACACAGCTGTCTGAGAGTAGAATGATCTTGGACAAGCCAGTGATTTACAGCACCAGTCTTGTGCGTGGGTGTTGTTTTCTGAGTCCCAGCAAGTTTTAATTCCGATTGTGAGCACTGTGTGATATGCTGGCCTCTGCTTTCCTGTACTGTGTGCCCCCACCTTCCTGCCCTCCGTATTCCTGAGGCTTATTTGAAACAGAAGGTTAATAACTTGGAGCCTGAAGGCACATGGCTGAGAAATGATCCAAGCACTACTGGATTTACAAAAACCCAGCCTCAGACCCTTAATCCTTGCTAAACTGTCACGGTTTGGCGCAGCCGGTGTTCCTAAAGAGCTTCAGCCTGAACACTGAAAGCCCAAAGGTTGTGATATCTTGGCAAATCCAAGTAAATCTCTGAGATGAGCTATGGGGAGGAGGGGCACTGCAGATCTGTTCATTGGGAGGAAAAAATGCAGCATCCTTGGCCTTGCCTCGAGGGTAGGGAGTGGGATGTGGCCTAGAGCTTGCTTTTCTGCAGTCCAGCCCTCATGTGCAGACTATGAAATAGTGTGGGTGGAACACCAACAGTGGTGGGAGAGGAGAATGCTCACAGCCGGCTACCACAGTTGTGGTAAAGCAGAATTAACTTTCCCTCATAACAAAATCTAATTGAGTGTTTCCTGTGAGGGAACAGGCTCCTGGCCTGCTCCCCTGTGCCACCTTCTCTCCCCATACAGTGGTGATGTTACAGAGAGGTTTTGAAAAACAAACAAAGCCACTTAGTGTGGCCCGTGTGGCTGTGCTGGAGGGTGCTCAGCTGCTCCTGACAGGGCGGGGAGGGTGTCTGTGCAGCCAGAGCTCCCTGCAGCTCTGGGGGAGGCTATGGTGGGGAACTGGGCAAGCCAGAGGCAGGATCCAGCCAGCCAGGGTTCAGGTTTTGGAGCTGGGGGAACATCTCGCAGAGTGAGTAATTCAAATTAAGATCCTGGGTGGAGACTGACTTGTGCCCACACCTCATAAAGGTGTTTTAAAGGTGTGTGGGCTGAGGTCCCATTTTCATACATGCTGAGATGCTGCAGGCATATGCGTGGAGCTCTGCCATTGATGGAAAAGTGGGAATAGATGGGATGGAATCAAGCAATCCAACCCCGAGCTGCATCCCAAAACGTGAAGGAGGGAGCCTGTGCGGCCGTGCAGAGCCCGCGGAGCCCGTGCCGGGCGGGAACAGCTCCACGAGATGGCAGCAGGACCCCTCTTTCCCGCATGGAGAGATTCCCGCTCAGGAGACAGCTGAGCACATCCTGGCGAAGACCCCAGCAGCACAGCTCAGCCCAGAGCTTCTGAGTGCATCTCCTGCAGAAGGTCTTCTCTTGGGGCAAGGAAAAAGACCAGCAAGAACTAACTCCGATGACAAGAACTAGAGATTGTGAGTTAATGCAGAACAGCATCTCTCCCTAGGGCTGCCTGCCTCTGGAATTTGTACTAGATCCCATTCCTCGGCTTTAACTGATTGTTAAGAGCAAAAGTCTAGCAGCAGGAACAGCTTTCCTGCCCTTCTCAGCTCAGCAGACCAGGTCACAGCACTTCCCTCTCCATCACCCAGGGAAGGCTATCTGTTTTTTAAATCAATCTGTGTAATTCTGTGATTGCGCAGACCATGGCCCAGCTTCTGGAGCTCCATGCATCAGGACTCTGGAGCTCCCTTGGTTTCCCTGTAGTCCCCAAGCCCTGGGAAAGGAGCTGAGCTTAGTGCTGCTCTTCTGAAAAGGCTGGCAGGACCTCCCAGCACACAGGGCTGGGGATTGAGGATGCAATTAGGAAACAGGACAGCACAAATGGGGGCCCACAGTCACCAGCTGATCTGTCTCCTAATGCCCCCTTGTCCAGCACACCCACAGAGCTCCTTCACCCAGCCTGGGGCATGAACATCCCTCCATCCCCTTCCCTTTGAATTTGACCCTCCTCCCCCCGCTAATTTCTGCATCCTCATATGGCTGCAAGTGCACCCCAGCACCATCAGACAGGCTATGTGGGCACGGCTGGGATGAGCAGAGGTGGCCATGGAATCCTTTGGTCATCCTCCCAAACCCATGGGGGCTGGGGCAGGGAGAGCTTGGGCAGCCCTGCCCCCGTGGAGTGATGGATGAGCTGACAATAGGGTATTGATAAGGAATTAACCTTGAGCCCTTCTTGCTTCAGTGTCAATAGAGCAGGAGCCAAGTACACACGTTTGATTGGAAATCTGTGTTTGGCCTCTGCTGCCTCTGAGCCCGTCGAAGGAGAGATGAGCAGGGGATGTGAGCTGCCCTGCTGCCCCCTCCCCAGCTTGGATCCCCCAGGTGGATCCCTCTCATCTTCCCCAGCCCTCTGCTGCTGGAGTTGACTGTGGGCACCCAGCTCCAGTGGCTGCAGCAGCCTCTATGCCCCCAGCCTGGCATGTGGAGGGCTGGGTACCAGGGCCCCCCTTGCTCCCTAAAGGGCCTGTGCCCATCTTGCACTGGCCTACACTCCGAGGAGTTTGTTTAATTAAGTGTTTTGCCTAATGGGATTGCCTCATTTCCATAACAAACTGGCGGGCTGTCATTAGGTGGGCTCCCTCATTCATTACTGTTAATTAGATATGGATCCCCCAGAAGGCGGCGCGGGGTGATGAACGAGGCCCCTGACACACGCTATTACACATTAGCATTTTCTCAATATATCCGATACATCATGGTCCTCCGCTTCCTAAAGATATTTTAAATAAAATATTAGCAGCCTGCTGCGGGGTAGGTGGAGAGGGAGGGAGGGTTTCTGCCCTTCGCCCTGGCCTCAGGCCACCTTTGGGCTGGAAGTGGATGAGAGAGGGGCTGAGAAAGTGGCCAAATCCCACCCTTTCCCTGTCCTTGCCACAGCAGATGGAAAGAGGTCCCTGACATCCTTGCTGCCTCCTCCCACCAGCCTGGGGACCCCCAGCACCCCATCCCTGGGGGACACAGCCATGGGGAGGGGTTTGAAAACAGCCCATTGACCCCTCTGCAAAATGTTTGTAAACCAAAAGCGTTGGCGCCAGTCGCGTGCCGGGGGGAACCCGACCTCTGCCCCCCCGCCCCAGCAGCCTCCCAGTCCCTGAGTCGGGGTAACCCTACACTGCACTGGGGGCCCCTAATGCAGGATGTATAGATCTGTTGGGGCTGGGCGTCTCCTGCCCCAGCCTAACGCAGCCGATGAGACTTCATTACGGGGGTGTCCCCTGAGGGGTGCCCTTCGCCCTGCCCTCCTGCCTCTATGGGGGGGACCAGTTGGGGGAACCCGTCCGTGGTGGGGTCTGGCACATGTCCCAGTATCCCCCTGCATCTGTCCCTGCATCCCAAACAGGACCAGGACTCCCCTCTGGGACATTACTCACATCCAGGAGCTGCAGCGTGTGGGGGGTGTCTCTGCTGCCTCTCGCCTGCGAAGGGAAACACAGAGAAGCAGAAAGCACCCGAGAAGATTTATACTTGTTTAATTAATGTCAAATGTAGTTTACAAACGGGAGTGACAAGTACCTCTTTGTATAGTATACACTGACACACAATCATTGACACACCGGAATATCGCTTTGTGCAACTGGGATTCTTTGGGCAAAGATAGGTAACTCTGATTTTTTTTTTTTTAATCATTTAAACTCATTACAGAAGAGGGGAAGTGGCGGATACCTGTTACAAACTGGGATGTCTCTCTCCCCAGCCTTCCCCCTGCAGCTTCCCCCTTGAAAACAGGGGATGGCTTTACAATTTAAACAAAAAAAAGAAAAAAACCAAAAATAAACCCCAAAGCAAAGAACCAATGAGTAGTTACATCTGGTTTTACACATACGTACATAAAGCACACGGCTGGTCCCCAACACCTGCCAGAAAGGCCCTGGGAGAGAGCTAGGCTATTTCCAAGGATGGGCTGGGTAAGGGCCTCCTACCCTCTTGCTCTTCCTGGCTCTCAAACCCACCTGCCTGCGCCCTCTCCATCTCTGAGACCGTAGCACCAGCACACTCCCAGCTGAGCCATGTGCCCTGCAAGTTTTCCTCCCTTTACAAATCCAGCCTGAGCTGTGCATGCCTGCCCTTGCCCTGCCTTGTGCTGCCAGCTGCAGGGTTATCCTGCAGTCTCCCTGTGAAGGCAGGACCCTCTGGGGTGCCCCAGCTTCCTCTGGCTCCTGGGAGTTCTGCTGGCACAGAGCAGAGGAGGCTGCAGCTCTCTGTCACAGAGGCCACACACAGATATGAGCTCGGACACAAGGGTAACTCCCAATTAGGAATTGTCACCTTTTGATGAGATGTTCATGAAATAACAGCTCCTTCAATTTCATTTGGGGTTTTTTTGGGTGCAGAGGGATCCTTCTGAAATCAGTAAGGAGATGCCAAGGCTGTTCTCTGCAAAAGAGCTCAGGGTAGGGAAGCAGTAGGACTGTCCCACTCCTCACACATCCTGCTTACCCAGCCCTTCCCTCTCTGGAAACACCCCAACAGCACTGGGGTCCCAACTCCCAAACCCTCATCCAGAGTTGTTTCCACTGTCTTAAAATGCCCCAGCTGTGTTGTGCTGCCAGGTGGGATCTGCTTGGAAAGGAGTGGGGCAGATGAACTTTCACATCTCCCTGTCTTCCGGCTATGGGGAGCTGGCACCCCACAAGTGCCCAGGAAACTGTGTCAGGGAT